AAAAAAAATCAAAATATAACAATTATTTTGGGAGAGATGGAATAAAACTTTGAGCCAATAAGATGACAAACAAAAACAGCTACCTTTTATCCGTTATCATTAACTCATTACAAGCTTCTTTGATTCCCTAACTACTTAAAGTATTTAGTTGATGGATAATCTCCTTTGATTAGAGTAAAAAATTTTAAATTTAAATAATATGTTCTATAAATAAGATGTGTTAGTTGAGTGGGTTAAGGGATGAGAAAAGAGTTTATTTGATTCAACTTTAATTTTTTTTTGTAAAAGCTAGTCTTTTAGGCCATGCGTTGCACATGACTTTTTTCCATTTACATCGTGTGATTATTTTTAACATAAATAAATTTAACAAGTTCAAGGTCTTATTGTATAATTTATTATATTAAGACTTAGAAAAATGACTAAAAATTATATGGACAAACCAAAAATATGTTTAGATAATTTTAAAAAATTTAAAACCAATATCTTAGGACTTAGGTATTGTAGACGGCCGTAAAAAAAAAAAAAAAAAAAAAATTCTTGGGTATTGTATCTTATTAAATAGAAATAAAATTTAAATAGATATTTAAAACAAAAATTTTCAAAATGTGGACTACCTTTAATCTTAAATATGTAATTCTATGCAAAACAACATTACCGGCATTTGCTTACTTTTTTGTGAAGTCCAAACACCAACCAACCTCCATTCACATTTAGATTTTTTTTCTTTTTTAAGTATTTTCAATAAATATAGGTCACATGTTTATTTTAATAAAATCATATTAAGATAAAAAAAAGATACATTAGATGATAAAAAGGAACAAATATCACAAAAGGATTTCCCTTTTTCTCAAGTGGTTTCTTTGATAAGTTCATTTATCAAATAGATGAACAGTTTCTTATTAAATCTTTTATTGTAAGTTGTTCATGAAATTCTTTTCATGCATCATTACTGTTGAATGGAATTAAATTTAATAGTAGAAAAAAAGTGAGGGGATAGTGGAAAGGAATGATATGGGTTATATTAGTATTTTAAAAATAAATTTCAATTACTTTGTATTATATATTACATTACAACGTATTTTAACTTTACTAATTAGAGATCGGGAAAGTAAAGGGTGGTGCAAGTAAGAAATCTAACTGTTATTATGAAAAACAATAAAGTACATAAATACCAAAAGGTATATAATGTTTAGAAAATTTTAATTAAAATTTGTTGATAAATTAATAAAAATATATAATAAAAAATTACAATTATAATATCATAATTGAGATAGTAGGAATATAACTAATTGGAAGCAAATTGCAAGAGATGGTTGATTTATGACAATGCAAAATTAACAATAATTACAAGAATATCTTAAGATAGAAGAAAGAATCAAGCATATCTTTTTCTTTAATAAAGAACTATAAATGAAGAAGAAAACAAAAATGCTAAAAAAAAATTATAACCGCACAAATAATTATTATATTATGCATTACAATCCTATATTTTTATTTTTCATAAATTTTGAGCATCTATTCCTCTTCCTTGGGTTAACGTGTTATATACCTCTTCCTTAGGTTAATGTGTTATGTATATATGTGTGTGTGTGAATTAAAATACTACCTCAAACATTAACTAGGCACTAAAATTTATCATTTTATTTTAAGGTTTAAGTACCATTTTGGTCCCTCAACTTTTGACTTTGGCACCAAAATTGTCCCTTACCTTTAAAAAGTACCAAAATTATCCTCAAACTTTCATTTTTGGTACCAAAATGGTCCTTCCGTCAGTTAAATGACAGGTGGCACGTTAAGTTGCTAAAAAATTATACTTTTTTAAAAAAAAATATTGACGTGGACAAGAAAACACATGTAAGTTGATGAGGTGGCACTTTTTTTTGTTTACATGGCATTTTTAATTTTAACAAATTATTATTAATTAATTAAAATCATTTCCAAAATTTTCAAAATTAACCTTCTTCTTCACTCTTCCCCTCTGTCTCTCTCTCGTCCTGGGCGATTCCTTCTCCATCTCCTCCAACATCTATTCCCATTCTGTTTTTCCATTTCACCATTTTGGGTTTTTTTTTTTTTACAGAGATTAAGCGAATTTGAGTGTGCACCAATGTTGGATTTTGAGAAAACCCAGATCTCTCTCTTCTCCTTTCGTCTTCTTTCTCCAGATCTGGGTTTGAGAAAACCCAGATCTGGGTTTTCTCATCCTCTTCCTCTATTTCATCATGTTCCACAGCAAGTTCAACAATTATCCTGCCAAAGAGCAACTCTCTGTTGACTAGCCAATTGTCGATGTATTTTGTTGTGCGGTGAGAGCAAAAGAGCAACTATTTGTTGACGTACAGTTTGCCTCCGGCCATGGACTCGACTGATCCTTCTGTATCCCCTTTGACTACTACCTCTTCTCTTTCCTTTTCTTAGATGTGATTGTCGATTATTTGTGTTGAGTCTTGAGGTTTGATTCTAATGTTTGAGCATTTTGTTTTTATTTTTGTTGAGTGGATCTACGTAGCTTTTCTTCTTCTTCTTCAAATTGGGGTTGTTCTTGCTCATCAGTTTGCTTCGACGAGTAATGGGTGGCTGATTTTGGGGTTTGGGGCGAGAAATTAGAAGTGGGTTTTTGAGAAAAACAGCCATAGAGGTTTCTTCTCTGACTCCGGTGTCTGTTGAAAAGCGAAATGGTAATCCACATCTAGATGGGGAGATTTCTAATTAAAAGTAGTAATTGATTCTTGAGAATGACATACACGAGGGATAAGAATGAGGGCAACCCATAGACAAAAAATGACAGTGCATGTAAGCATTTCCATCATCAACTTCATCATATTGTTAAATTATGTGATAAAACCCAAATCTGGGTTTGTCTCAAACCCAAGTTCCTCTTTCACCGCACGAATAGCAGCCTCTTCAGGGTTCTCATCGGGCTTCATTTTCTCGGACAAGGGTCGGAACCGATCCGTGATACTACCGTCAGACAATTCCTGCCGAGATTCGACCAGAAAACGGTTGTCTTTCCCAATAATGCGAACAGTAACGACATTGACTGTACGAAGTGGAGGGGATGAATCAGCAAGACAGGTCTCCCCTTCGGAGAGCTCTAGCCAGAGATTGTGAACGTTCTTGGTCCCAGGCTTAACCCCCCAAGAGGCAAACGAATCGGAAGGCAATCGGGGCTTGAGCCAATCGGAGAAGGCCTGTGGGGTGGGGAAATGGGAATTGGACAAACCCAGATCTGGGTTTGAGAAAAACCCAGATTTGGAGAGGAAGAAGAAGATAGAAGAGAGAGAGAAAGAATAAGAAGATGGA